ATTGCCTTCCAGGCAGCTTGGGCTGTTGACAGGGTAACAGCTGCAGAATTCACTATCCCCCGAACACCCTCAGCAGGAGAAGAAGAAACATCTGCCATCATCTTACCCATGTACAAGCCAGTTCATCATCCTGAGGTGTGGAGTTGCCCCTGAAGGCCTGTTACACCCCCCATTAGCTGTGGTTATTTCTTGATGAACTGTTCCCACAGATGTTGCCGTTGCATAAGGTGAACATAGTGTCAGCCTGCAGCTGCGGGAACTCCATCTCTGCAGCCAAAAAAACTAACTGGCCTGAGGTGCAGGAGGCAAGACCAAGCATTTCTGGTGCTGCTGCCACAGGACAAGCAACATGTTTCCAGTGGTAACACCTACTCTACCTGGCCCAGCTCCCTTGTTGGAGCAGTCAGAATAATTAATGTCAAACACGGTCCCTTTTCCCACCTCTGAGCTTCTGTTCCTCTCGTGGTAGCAGCCTTCCCTACCTGTCCCTTTTCCTAGCAGACATGTGGCTGGGATGGAGCTTCATGCAATGAATGTCTGGGGCATGCTTGTGGCCTGACAGGAGACCCTCAAAGCAGACTGGTAACTCAAGGTGTTGCAGAAGGTTGATATGCCACCTGTGGCATGATCTTGCTGATCCATCCCTCCTCCTTCCCTCTGATGTCTTCAGCAGTCCAGCAGACCAAAAACAGCCAAGGCAAGACAGACAGGGTGAAAAGCAATGAACAGCATGCCACGCATCTTGCTCTGTGTCTCCCAGTCTCAGGAGTACAGGGAAGGCTTGAAAGAGTAAACTCAGAGACACTTCATTACAAACAAGACAAAGATTTATTTCCATTTTGAGAGAAGTAGAAGAGTAATCATTAAAAAAAAACCTCCAATACAGAATGTAATATTCTCCTAGGCTGTACAGTCCACTTCTTTATCAAAGTCTGCTCAGGGCCTGATTATACCAGAACTTGGGCAGAACAGAAACCAAGAGACCTTGTCCTTTGAGGAAATAAGCACTTTCAAGGCCTCTCTCTTCCCATCAGTGCTCACATTTAAGAATTTCCTACACGTTTACATTCCAGATTTATTGGACTCTTCTGACAGAAATCAAAAGAGTAGTTTGAAACTTAGACTAACTTTGCTAAAAGGAAGGCTCTCAGATATTTACAATAAAACTTATAAAAATCAATTTTTTTTTTTATTCTTGCTGGTGTCTGAGAATAACAAGCTACGTTCCAGACAAAAACACATTGAGATTCATGTGTTGAACATATCCCCATGGCACAAGCATACACTGAGATCCAATTGTCTAACATATCCCCTTGGCATATCCCCATATGCTCCCAGAGAGACCCAACCCCATGGATCCCCAAGGACACAACAAGCCTATCTTCCTCTGTCAGTGGTCAGTCAGTTCCATGTCACACATGGGCACAGGGGCAGCACACCTCAGTGCCACAAGGCACAGCCTGGACAGACCCGCAGTGCTCAGCATACCCCTGGCACCTGAGCCTACACGACCTGAGCTTGGAGAGGTTGGAACAGCCACAAAAACACAGCAGTGCTGGTGGGAAGGGATTGCTGGAGTCTTCAGGCCTGCTGCAAGCAGGAGGTTGGAGCACTGCCAGTGCTAGCAAAGGGCAGGTATAGATTTGTCTGGTTTTGCCTCAAAAACCTTGAAGCACAGACCCCACACAGACATAGAGTCCCTTGAGTGATCCCAGTAGCTCTTCAACAGTTCTGCCCAGGGTTTCTAGCCATTTGTGGCTGAAGTTTAAGCAGATTTTGACCATGTCTCAGGTTCTTGATGCAGCAAGCTCATCACTGTACCTGCTGCAAAAAATTTACCACGTAGATATGCCCAGTTTCCCTAGTTTGTAGGTATAAAAGATCCGGAGAGAAACAAGAACAAGCACCTAGACCTTCTCTGCAAACAATACACAATTGAACCTATCCAGTCTGTGCATCCTAAGTCACCAAGATGTCATGCTTGACCTTCAGACACTGACTTTTGGTCTCTGAACTGCCAGCAGATGCTATCTGAGCTCAGAAGCATCTTCCACAAAACCTATATCATCATTGGTTACCTTTTTTTAGACTGAACTCTAAACTGGCACTAGGGCTGAAGCAGAGAATAAAATGAGAGGAACAAGGGCCAGAAGAAATCTAGGCTCTTCACTCATGACCAACGACAAGATTCATGGAGGCATGAAGGGATGGATATCACTCCAGACAGTGGCTAAGCACTGGAATAGGCTCCCCAAGGAGCAAGCACCAAGCCTGGCAGAGTTCAAGATGCATTTGGACAATACTCTCAGGCACATAGTATGATTCTTGAGGTGTCCTGTGCAGGGACAGGAGCTAGGCCTGATCTTGATGAGTCCCTTCCATTATCATAGAATCATGCTATGATTCTATGAAAATTATCTGGTCCACATTGATAACAGCTTCTACAGGAAGGAAAGAAAGGATTAAAAGGCAGGACAGTTCTTCTCCCAGCTACCCCCAAATAAGCATGGCTTGCTGTCAAAGTGACACAGTCCAGTCCTTGCAGACAATGAAAGCAGAGCCAGCAGCTCTCAGAAATACTAGAAGCTGGAACAGCTAGGTGTACAGATCCTCTTCCAGATGGAAAATGGATAGTTGGGAGAGATATTAGCACAGCTGCTGAGACGACCTGCCCTGGCTGAGACAGCTCTCTCCAGGGTGGTAGCAGCTTCTGGATGTGCAGGACCAGGAAGAACAAGGAAGATACCAACATAGCTCTTCAGAAAGGATAGGAAAGGAAAAATCTGACTGCCTTCAGCAGGCCGAAGAGTTGAGTGGTGCTCACACTTGCTGCCTGTGCCTGCACCCCACTGGCTCCGTGCATGGAGCAGCCTCCCCAGCTCTGTGTACGGACAGCAGCTTCCTGCAGTGCCACAGACAGGTCTACACAGACACAGGGCAGTGCTGTCAGGTCAGTCTCAGCCTCCCAGCCCAGGAGCTGGCTCATCACATGACACCCCGGCACTCTGAACCCTTGAATCCAAAACTCATCTCCTACCTCACAGTCCCACGGAAGACAGACATACAACTTCTCCTGCCCACCTGCCGCAGAGGGCTTTACTCTTCTCCACACCAAGCCATTCTCTGAGGACACCCAACCATCTTCCTGCTCCACTCCATTTCCTCTCTCATGTCCCCTGGATATGCAGACCGTAGTACCCATAGAAAGCAAGGAAATTATCTCAAACAAATTTCATCCTGCTGACGACCTCATCTGAAAAATGCAGAGCAGAAGGCACAGGTGTCTTCATAGGGTCCAAAACTCTTTGGAGCAAAGCACAGCAGTAGGACAAGAGACCATAAACATTAAATGAGACTAGAGAAGTGCTATATGGAGGGTACAAGGAGAGACTTCTCCCCCACAAGGACCGCCAGGTTGCCCAGAGAAACTGTGCTGTCTCCATTCTTGGAGGTTATGAAGACTCAACTACATAGGGCTGAGCTTTTTGGTCTGAGTCATAGTTGACCCTGATTTGGATACCAGATTAGAACAGAAATTTCCCAAGATCTTTTCCAACCTGCGTTATGCTATGATCTATACCCGACTCTGGTGAGAGAGACTCTGGTGTATGTGCACCCTTGTCTGTTCTTCCTGTTGAGGCTCTGGCTGCACTTTCTCACTCTCTCTCCCCATACACGGCCCTACCACACTGCAGGATCTTCTCACCAACCTCCTCCTGGCCCTGGATACACAGATTCCCCACTTTCACGGAAAAAAGGAGCTGTATAAGAAGACCTGGGAGCAGGGCTATGTCGGCTCCCTCTATACCCACAGATCCCTCTACACCCGGAGCCTTGAGTGTCTACTACTACTCCAGACTCCTTTCCAAGGTGATGGAATCTGTTGGAAGGAGTATGCTTGAGTTTCCCTGTGGATCTAGTTTCAAGCTTTTGTCTCGTAGACATTCCTATTAGCTGTTCCCTCTTCATATTTTTCTCCAGACTCTTTTCCATCCCAGGAAAGCTTGAAAGTGGAACAAATGAAGACGAAAAGGCACCATATCCTGCCTCTTGTATTCCAGAAACAAAGTTTACTTCTATATATGCCAATTTCTCTAGGCTACAGACAGAGCTGGGCTGGTCTTGGGAACAAAGTAATTTAGAACTCAGGGTCAGGTCTTCACTCAAAGCAAGTCCAAATTCAACGTTGGCTACAACTTCAGAGGCAGATCAGGCTCCGTCCAATCAAGTTGGAAAGACCTCCAATGACAGAGGTCCCACAGCCTCCCCGTGTCCCTCTTCCAGGGGCTGGGCATGCTCATGGTAGAAATTTTTGTAGTTCCAATCCCACTACCATTCCCACCCCTGCAGCACAGAACGCAACACGTGGAAGGATGTGACTTGATGCGTTTTTCTGCAGCCCTGGCATCCAAACCTTCTCCAGCCTTGGCCACACTGTTGGTGTAAAGCCCGAGGCTAAGCAATAGCCATCAGGGACATGCCACCATATCAGTGCCACACATTCTGCTTTTAGAGCTTTGCCTGCACGGAAGCCAAGGAATGCTTCCACCTGCCTCCCTCCTTCACATCACCAACAGACATTAATTCTCTAGGAAAAAAATCATCAACAACAGAGACTTTTAAACTAAAATCTTCCTGGGTAGACCAGAAGGGGCCCAGCTGTGTGTGCTGAGAGGGTGGGAGCCTGGCAGGAAGCTTTGAGCACCTGTCCCAGGAAAGGCTGTAAGAGAGGAAGAGACTGCTTGCCCTATCCAAGCACTTGGGAGTCCCTGCGACTTTTCTGCCGAGAGTGGCCCGGGCTGGACAGGACACCTCAGGTCCCCAGGGCTGACTGCGACGCTCCTTGCCAGGAAGCTTGGGCAGATGGCAGAATGCGTAGCTGCAGCCCAAGGTTCTTCAGCATCTTCCCGGGCAGCTCCGAGAGCGGCCGTGCCGGGCGACCCCCGAAGTCCGCCGTCTCCCGGGCTCCGGTCCGCGCTGTCGGGCCTCTCTGCGGCGGGTCAGAGCGCCGGGAACCTGTCGGGGGCTCCAGGGTAGGTGCCGTGCCGCGGTGCGGGCTCGGCGGCACTCAGATGCCCTCCGGAGTCGAAGGCGTGGGGCAGCGGCGGGTAGGGTGCGGGGGAGCGGCGGCCGTAGAGCGCAGGGGAGCCGGGCGAAGAGGCGGGCAGCACGATGCGCCCCGACGGAGCGTACAGCGACCCGTGGCCCCCGGGCGCGTAGGGCCCGGGAGCGGTGGGCAGCGGGGCGTAGGCGTGGGGCAGGGCGGCGGAGGCGCAGCCCTGCGAGGGGAAGGCGGTGGCGAAGGCGCAGGAGGCGGCAGCGGGTGCCGGGGGCAGGTCGGCGGGGGGCGGCGGGAGCAGGCGGCACGGAGCGGCGGGACGGTCGGCGAGGAAGGCCGGGTAGGTGGAGAGGTCGCTGCGCTTGAAACGCTTTCTGCGGCGGAGGAAGGACCCGCTCTCGAACATGTCGCGGGCGTGAGGGTCCAGCGTCCAGTAGTTGCCCTTGCCGGGGCGGCCGGGCTCCCGTGGCACCTTGACAAAGCAGTCATTGAGGGTGAGGTTGTGACGGATGCTGTTCTGCCACTTGCGGGAGCTGTCACGGTAGAAGGGGAAGCGCTCGGTGATGAAGCGGTAGATGCCGCCGAGCGTCAGTCGCCGCTCGGGCGCCTGCCCGATGGCCATGGCGATGAGGGCGATGTAGCTGTACGGCGGCTTGCCCCGCTCCGCCGGACGCTTGCGGCGCCGCCGCCCGCCCCGCGCCCCCGCCGCCGCCGCCGCCGCCTCCTCTCCGGGCGGCACCGCGTCCGCCTTCAGCGGCGGGGGCCCCGGCGGGGGCCCCGGCGGCAGTCGGCTCTCGGCTGTCATGTGGCCGTCGGAGCGGCTTCGCGCCGGACCGAGCCGAGGAAGCGCAGCGCAGCGCGACCGCGGCTTTTATGCGGCCGCGTCCGGCGGCTCCGCGCCCGGTCGGCCGGCACTCCCCCTGCTACGCCCCGCCGCCCGGGAGGCGCGGGCAGGGCCGGGCGTGCCGCCGCTGCCGCCGCGGGTCGGGGCAGCGCCCTGCCCGGCACCCCTCTTCCGACGATCTCCGCTGGTCCCTGTCCCCAGCGCCGTCGGGGCGGCGCGGACCCGCCGCCGTCGGAAGAGCACAGCTCCGGAGGGCCGACGGGCACCGAGCGGAGCGGCGGCGTCTCTGGGATCCCGGGGCTGGTGTCCGGGCACGGGCATTTAGTACGCCTCCCCGTAGGGCTCGGCGCCATCGGGGCCGGTTGTGCTGGCGGCCGCGGAGAGAGGCGGCAACGATGAGCCGCCGCCGCTGCCGGAGGGGATGCTGGAGGGGATGCTGCCGGTCCGCGGGGGACAGTCGGCCACGAGCTACGTTGCCCAGGGAGCCCCACGCTTCTCTACGGAAATGAAGCTGTCGAAACAAATTAGTCTGGAAAAAAACACCCGGTGACAGATCTGCGTGGGGAGAGATAGTAAGTGCGGGCTTAGGCTACACGGTTTGCGTGCAGAGCTGCTATGTAGAATGCATGGAAGCTGGGGCCCTCATAGCTGGTACCCAGCAGCGATTTGACACAGGAGTAGGCTCCCGTGCCCCTGGTTTACCCCTGAGCTGACCTTCTTGTCCCTGATCCTTATGCCCCACAGACCCATGATCCAACCAGGAAGGATCCCAGGCTCTCCACAGGCTAATCCTGGGACATACCTGCCAGCTCCCTCATGTTTGCTCAGATACTTGAGGCTGAGGGTCAGACCCCACCTGAGTGCACCAACTAGTGAGGAATGCTTGCCCAGGACTTGAGCTCCTGTGACACATATCCACAGGCCTGGGGACAGCACAACCTCCTCACCTGCTGGCATGATGTTCCTTGCAAGCCAGAATATAAAGGAGATGGCAGGGCGTCCTGGAGGTGAGATTGAAAGTGTGTGCAGGTGTGTACAGGCATGTGTGTGCATGGAAGGGTGCATGTGCATGGGCACATGGGTGTGCAAGGGCACTGCTGTGGGGGTGAGGATGCGAGTGAGCGTTTGTGGGTACATGAGTGTGCATACAACCAAATGCCAGCACACACAGGTGTGTGGCTGGACCCGAGATTTGCATGTGGGCATGTAGGCAAGAAACAGATATAGGCAGATGTGTGTGCAGAGAGGCGGATGTGCACAGGTGTGCGGGTCCTGTGCATGGCTGTACACCTGATCCTGCCCATATCTTGGTGTCTACTGCCAGTTCTTCCACAACTCAAGTCACAAGTGCACTGCTGAGTCTATCTTTGTAGGAGAAGCTTTTCCAAAGCCCTCTTGGGCATTACACAAATGATTTTTAAGGGAGAAAGGGCAGGTAAGAGCTGTTTTTCCTAGTGAAATACGGCTCCCTTGGAGATGTCCCACAGAGTTGTTGAAGTCTTTATCTGCTTGGAGAAAAATGTGTGTGTGAGGATCCATTTCCATGCAGCAAACAAACCTCAGCCCTGCTTTCCAGCTAAATAAGAGACACAGGGGTCACCGGCCACCTGCCTTATCTCTGTGGCTTCCCAGCAATCTGGGAAATAGCAAAAAGTCCTATGGAGCTAGCAGAATAAACCATGAAGTGGCATTTGCTGTGCACACTCATGTGCATGTAGTGTGTCCAGTAGCTGGATGCAGACACTGGGCAGTATTTCAAATCACATGCTGCAGAGTTTGCGTCAAGAGGAAAAAATCAACCTCCTGTACCAACACCCACGTTCTTGAAGTGCACAGCAGACTAGGGTAGTATTACCCCTTATGAACCAAAAGGCAACTCCTTCAGTATGAAGTTGCCTCACCAGTAATGCTCTGCCTTTTGGCTCGTGGGAAGCTTCAGCTGGGAATGAATTTTCCAATCAGATGTTCCAAAAGACAGTGCTGTAGTTCAGTCACCTCTGGGGCTGTGTCTCTCTGTGCCATGCCAATTCCATGCCTCCAGAGGGCAAAGTCAGATCGTGCTTTGCTTTGCACTTGTAGAGGATGGGGAATGAAAGAGGTGTATGCTGGGGAGGGATGGTGTGCTGAACAGCTGCTTTTGCCCTCCCTGCTGGTGATGAAAATCCTTTCCTAAGTGAGCACTTTCCTTGGCAGAGCCCAAAGCAGAGTGAAATGGATACCCAAACAGCATGTGCTGGCCCTTGTCCCTTCTCCTTTCTACATCACACAAATTGTGGTGCCAATATTTGTGAGTAAAGTGGGAATTGTATAACATGGTGCCCTGGAGACTACCCTCAATCTGACATTATCATAAATCTGTTTGAAAACACTTTTAAGTCTCTACTTTGGGAGCAGGAGTATGTCAAATTTTAAGCATTGGTGTTTCTTTTGAGTACTAGTTCCCATGGGGAGGGAACTATGGAGAATATGAAGCTCCACCTCACCCACTTGGATCTTAGACTGCAGATCTCCTCCATCTGTAAGTCAAGTGGGGCCTGTTGCTGGAGCAGAACAGTTGGTGTTAGTGTTTGTGAAGCATTGTTTTCTCTTTTGATTCCATCATGCTGGAGGAGGGACAAGAGTAAGTAAGATGGAAAACACCATTCATTGATTAAACCTGTTGATAATAGAGTTCATAATACAATCAAAAATGTATGATATCTGCATAGTATTACCCATACAGAATCTATCACTTTAATTTTCTTTTGGTGTCTGGGACAAAGTTTAGAGTTACCATTTTTTCTGTCTAAATTTCTCGACTCAGATCCTGCCAATACTAAGGTCTGCAGCCTTCAGCTGGGCAAAGTGATCACTGATTGTGAGACCACTGCACTGCAGAGTTGTACCCTGCACAAGGGCACTGTCCCTTGGCCTCTCAAGAATGGAGTTTGTTAGTACTGGCAGCTGCTAGGGAATGACCCCAAACAAAATCCCTTCTGTTTGGATCTCCAAGACTTATTTCCACCCATAGAAAAAAATCCAGTTACAAACCATGCCACTGAGATCTCTCAAGGGTAGACTACAGGGATACTCTGCTCTTTTTTAGTCCTATGACCTGAGCTGCTTCTTCCACTTCAAGCAAGCAAGGGAAAGTGGACACTAAATGTGTGGACAGCCCCTTCATGTGCAGCACATTGATAGTTTTGTTTCTACATTAGAATTCCTCTCTGAGGTGAGGAAAGGTTTTGCCTCTGTCCCAGGACTAGCAGGGCCGTATTTAATGTGCACCAGTTTAAGGGTCTGGCAAAATCAAAATGCCAGATCATATTGGCTGAATGCAAACCAAGTGAGAGCACCTACCCATGGCACAGCCACCACCCCAAGCTCAGTGGTATCTGTCATGGAATGGCAAGTTTGGGGTTTTATTGGCTGTGTGTTTGGTGCCAGGACCTTGCTGTTAGAAGTCTGGTAAGCATCACAGCCAGACACATCATGATACTTTCTGACGAGGATCTTAAACGTACCTGCAGCTTGTGGTTAAGATCTGAGAGGGACCTTAAGCCTGAGCCTTTTAGAATAATGCAAGTGATGGCATGACATCATTCATGCACTTTCAGAGCACATTCCGCAAAGAAATATCCAAAGTGACTGAGCTTAAGGTATTTTGCACCTAACTGTAGTTAGTGGGAGACAAGAACAGAGAGATGATTGCATGGATTTTGGAAACACTTTGTGGCTAGATTGTGATATGGGGACCAAGGTGAAACCTCTGAGAGAGAACTGATGGGGATCTTGACCACATACATTGAGTATGACCACATGACAAAAGAAAGGCTGGAAAGCAACATAACTGCAAGGATGCTGCATATTTTTATCAGCTGTTCACCTGCCTTGTCTAGTGGGGGCAAAGTTTCACTCTTCTGCAGTGGCCTGGTTGTTTAGTATCAGTGCTGTTTTTCCAAATGATTGCAGCTTCTCATCCTTTTGCTCAGTTTTTGATAGGAACTTGAGGCTGCAGGGGAGAAAGAATTGCATGCTGAGAGAATCCCATGGATATAGCCAGGTTCATGTGGGAGACTTGATTTCTTCTGTAGAAGAAACCAAAACATCATTTGATGGCCATATCTCAGGCCAGAAATTGGGGCAAGAGCCATGGGCAGATTTAGCCTCCATCCAGCATGGTTCCACCTGGGAAGGGCGCCTGACAGCCCAGCAGCTCCCCTGGCTCTTGTTGCAAGTGAGCTGCAACAGGGGCAGGTACAGGTGGGCAGGGCAGGTTCTCTCAGAGCTCTGACATTCCCTTGGGACCCTGCCCCACTCGGGAATTTGGTGTGAGCAGCATAATGGCAAAAGGATTGGCCATACAGCATGGAATTTGTGTAGGATTGGTGCTCTGGGGTGATGGTAGCGCTGAACTAGAGGGAGTGGCTGATACAGGAAGAAGCAAGGCCCCAGCCTAGAGGGACCACCACAAATGGGAGCAAGGGACTGCTGGAAAGCTTGGGAATGCCAGCAAAGGAAAGATGCGAGTGGTGCAGAAAGATGCAGTGCCCTGTGTGCCAGTCCCAGCTGGGGCTGCTGCAGAGGCTCCGGGGAATGCCGTGCAGGGGGCTGGACACAGGCCAGGAGTGACTCTTGCAGCAAGTGAGGTACACTCCGTACTGGTTTTCCTGAGGAGCACAGCTTGTCAGGCAAACCAAGGTCTGTGCCAGCACTCCTAAACAGTTAACATGGAAACTTGCTGTGCACACTGGCAGCAAGAGCCTCATTTAGATAAGACATGGAGCCACAAAATGAAGCTAGATAGAAAACACCACATGTGATGTGGGCAGCAAGGAGCAGGCACCTTCTTGGGGGAAGCAGTTTGGATGCAGCCTGAGTTGGATAGGCCATGACACATTCGTTTGTTCTCCTGTGGAAGGAGAACACAGAGCTGGTTTCCAAGAGAATAAACTGCCCATTCTTGCCTTTTCGCCACCACT